GGACATGCATTTTTAAAGTTACACTGCTATATCATGGTGCTTCAACTGACCAAATTGACTCGCTGGTTTACGATGCACGATTCAAGAAGAATTGCTTCAGCCATGCTTTACAGCGTCTAGTTGTTCCTCCAGGACGGTGAAATAAGATAATATTTACGCGATAGTGGACAATGACAAATGATGCTCCAGCCACAAGGAATATTCGTAATTGTTGAATGATTGCTCGCAGGTTGGTCCCCCGAGTTGTGAAAATTTCCCATTGTCGCCCTGGAATATGATTATAGGTATGATTAAATATGATTAAAGATATTGTCTCTACGTATTGTTTCTTATATTATATAACACCATCACTAGAGTGTTTCACGTGTCTTCCATTGATAAGATTATTATTACTTACAGTATCTACTATATGTTAAAAAATAATTTGGTTATAAAACCTAGGTATTACATAAATAATTATAATAATAACAATTATTATTAATATATATTATTAATAATTATATTGCATAAAGTGGCTTAAGAAAATGTTGAGGAATGGAAAGTATTTTCTAGCTTGAAAATAAAGTACCAATTATTTGTAGTCATTGTGGAGAGTTTTAAAGATGGACTTATTTATAATTTAATTAATCTTCCGATAGGGTGTCAGGGTTTAGAGATAGAATCTTGACGTGTAAAGGGGTTGGTTATAGTGATTCATAAAGGGTTTATCAAGTCAGAAAAGGAATTTGGGGTGCGTCCGCTGGGAGGATTTAACAGATTCAAAATCGTGATTTGGTGAATAACTGAAATGTCATAAAGAAGGGTTGGCGAAGTATGAGTTTAGAACGCAAAATATATGAGAACTTTAATATTAATATAAATCGTGGTCAAACTCATTAAAAGCTGTTGACTTACGATATCAAAAAATAATTCATAACATAGGAATTATCTGGCAGCACATTAAACTTGAATTTTTGGAAATCCACTTTAGAATCGCACAGGTTTATGGAATTACAGGAATATTTATTTTGGATTCATGATAAAATAGGGTACGCAGATACATCGAGCAAATTATTTATTCATATAATAATTATTCAACTTGGTGGAATATTAATCAGAACCGTGCATGCGTATTCAATACCGTGCTTCTATTGATACAAGTATTCATGTTGGGATTTTAATGTAAAATAAACGATTCCCACATGTAGTTGTGCCAAATTTGTAGTCAAACGTTATACAAAATACATTATGTATCTCGCATCATGCCACAGCTACGTTTGAATTCTCTTCAGTAATGTTATTACAGTATCTGCTTGAAAATTCCTCTTCCCCTTAACTCTTTTATGTTTTTTGAAGCCTTCAGGTATCTCAGGACAATTGAATTCACGTGAATAATAGTAAAGAATTTTAACAAAGCTTTTGAAACTTTTGTGTCTGAGCCGAGGACTAGGATTAATATATAAACCAGTATTGTATCTGCGACGCAAAAAATATTCTAAAGAATACATTTGTACGGAACATGTTTTACGTAATATTTATTCTGGAATAATGCTTGAATAGAAAATCTTCCATGAAAATGTTAATCGACAAGTATTATTTATTCATAACTTTGTGAAATCATTTGCAAAATATATAACTTTTTGTAAACTGGCTATCATCTAACAATGATAGTATTGTTCTGAATATAATAAATAAAATAGAAACAATGTACAAAGTTCCTAATTTAACAATCAAATTACGTTAATAAGCAATTCGCTTGAATTGCTACAACGAATCTTAAAACGCAAATATTTTGAAACATATAAATATAAAGCAAATAAATCATTAACGTGTCCATGTTAGAACTACTATGTAAAAGAAAAATAGATTACGAAATACATTTACTAAAACATTCTTTACCTATTTCAATAAAGACTATATACATACAAAAACCAGATAATATATCACGTAGAGTCATTTGCATTGCTAAATCTACAATCTGCGAATACACGAACAGTAAATAACTTCCAACAAGTTTCCTTGCCCATATATTCAGTAAAAATAATTAAGAACGATGTAATACAAATTCAGGCTGCTTTTAAATCAGCCAGCATAATGTCGCCAGCTTTTACCGCAGTTCCTCGAGTCTTACGAGATTACGCGAGGGACGAACACCAACGAACAAAGAAGCCTCTCCAGTCTGATTTATCATTCCTATTCAAACTTCTTAATGGCCGTATTAATAGGTCGTGAATCGCACAATGGAGCAGTTTGGCCGGTAAAACTGGAGGGTCGTTACATTTCAACTCGTTAAATCTTGCTTACTTACCACTCTACATTGCCTCGCGATACACCCCCATAAATTCAACCAATCATGAAGTATTCTTCATCGTACGGTTTCCACATCATAAATGTTTTTATACTCACCTCCGCCCAACTTTTGCCGTTTACTCCGTTCGGTTTCTAATACAATGTTTCTGCACATTGTTTCTAGTTTTCGTCGTTATGTGGAAGACTCGACGAAAACTAGCTGGCTCGAACGTTTTATTCGTTATAATCATTATACACGCATACAATAAAATATTGTGGTGAGATTAAATTAGTTTTCGAACGCACATAAGTGATACTTTTGTTAAACCGTAAAATTAGTTTGTTACTTGACAAGTTTCTTATCTTTAAATTCCTTAATTTTATAAATATAGGACAGATTGAAAAGTGTTTTATAAAGATAGAAATACTTGCGATGTTAATACAACCGGTGTAGTGGTATCTAAACAAACAAGTGTACGCGGCAGTACATATAATAAATATTTTGATATTTATACTTTGTATATGATGATGATTCCACGAAAAGATAGTAAGTGGTTTAATTCATAATTTGTACTCTTTGGTAACATTCGCATACTGTTACTACAAATTGACCAACGTGTCCAAATAACTCACGAAACCTACTGTATGCGATTCTAAGAAGGTGACGATTTTCCTTTTTCAAGTCAAAGGGTACTTTTATACTTGGCTACGTCCAACTCTTTCTTTTTCCTTTGTTTTGCCTGTAACGAGATGTTTCTGCACACTGTCTTCAGTTTTCATTGTTGTGCGGAAGATTTGACGAAAGATACCTGGCTCGATTGTCGGCCATCGTAAGAATAGCTGCGCTGGAGCACTGGAACGACGCACACGAAAGAGACTTTCCGCTGAATTATGTAAAGGCCCATGAAAAATTCGCGCAATGAGCAGCAGTCCAAGTTGCGCCGGGCGCATAAGGAGATTCGCATTATCGTGCATGTTGAATGAGTGGAGGCGAGCGGAAGGCCGGGAAGAGGATGCTCGTGTTATGAAATTTTGATCAAAAGTACATGGAACGTAGCTCCGGAATCGGAAGTTATTTCGTTCTCGTGGGAACGGGTGGACCGCCAACAGAATGCGTGCAAACTGCATTGTTGGGATGGTTATTTTCACGATTCGCAATCAAGTATCCAATCCGATGTTCTTCTTTGTCCTTCATTTTATACTTTCCTCCTTCCTCATCTTCTCATTTTTTATCCGATAAACAATTTACAACGTTTTGTGAAGTACAAGATGTCCGGTTCGGGAGTACACGCGCTGTTGCTTCTTGAAAATTATTTATTATAATCTGCTGAGAATGCGAAACATGGTTTGCTTGAAAGTTTGTTTATTTCGTGATGAAAAATTAATGAAATATCTCTGAAGTTTCTCTTCCAGTGTTATTCATTATGATATTAATATAATTTGACTAGATGGAACTATATATTTTTGATACTATCATTTCGTTACATGTATCAAGATGATAAATTCAACCATGTGTATTAACAATATAAATTACTGTTCCATATGATAATAGCTGTTAAAGCTAGCTCCAATAATTCGCACAGAATGCACCATTTAACATACATATAGTTGCAAAACAATTAATTGATCAATAGCATGTACTTTCTCCGATAATATTACCTTTTTTTATACATGTTTTATATCTTGGTGATGAAAATATGACTTATGAAAAGCTCCAAATAAAATAGCAAATATCCAAACGAAATCTGACGACAGAATTTCCCAGTCAACTTAATGGTATTGAAATTCTAATGATAGGAAATCTAATTGTAAGTGAATCTGTATGAAGAGTAGCAATATGAAATTAACATTAATTATTACAAAATTGAATTTAATGATTTTTTCATTCGAAAGACATAATTTTTCATTCATAATTATTAATTTTTTGATTCTCGCAATACATATTCACTATTTTATTTGACTCGATTGGTCATAGAAAATATGATGTTCTTTAAAACTTTCTTGAGGATCAAGGATCAGGCAAAAAAAAGAACCTTTATGGTGATTTATGCAAAGATGAAACGTTTCTCTCCCTGTAATGTACAAGATTTATTTTACAGGGACGAGAACACAATAGAATATTCTATCAACTACAGTCGCTTCCGCAGAATTACCGTACTAGCATCGCTTTCTCGGAAACATCATGTTCGAAAATTACATGAAACGACCGTAATATTTCCAAGTTCGTAAAAAAGGAGGTGGCGTGAAAGCACCAGGGACTGCTTTCGCGAAGATCCCGTGCGATGCTTAAAACCGAGGAAGTCGCGTATCTAAAAATTTTACTATAAGTCGCGATATACCTAAAGGATTTCAGTAACTTTAATCCGTGCTACACACTGTGCCAATTTTTCGCATACGAATTATATGAATATACGAAACACGTTTAGCTTTATTGAAAGTTCAAAATATGAACATCTTCTTGCGATACAATCAAAACTCAACACATGTTGCAACGCGAAAGATCCGATATGGGAAAATGATGTTGAATATCAACAAGTACGAAGAATATATCCAGTAACACACTAATATTATTTTCAGAAGTATTGGTATACGTTACATCCCACCATACAATCTTAGTATTAATAGCAAAATTAGCGAAAAAATATCCACCCATGAAGCGCGGGAGACGTGTTATGGTTCCGCCTTCGCCACATTCACACATATACTAACCTACATTTTACCTTCTGTTTCAGGCCGTTGCTAAAACAGATAAAAAACTCGGCCGAGTCGCACATTGTACTGGATTGCTCTACCGAGAGGATTTACGATGTGTTGAAGCAGGCTCAGCAAATAGGAATGATGAGCGACTATCACAGTTACCTCATCACCTCTCTGGTGAGTCTTTTAATTAGATGAGAATGCAATTAATGCTGGACACGATTCCAGTTACGTTCAACTTTCCCACCCTCTCCATACCGAAATCAGCCACTCCTTTCCACGACAGAACCTATCTCTGAAATTGGAACTGTCATGTCAGACACGCGAGTTATGCGTATAAACTAATTTTCACGGGTTCGCCTCGTTTATCGTCTCTCAAATTTTCTCTGTGCTTTCCGATGGGCTCGGAGGTGTGCGCTCGTGATCAGAATCGATAAGCGTCTGGGCCAAAAGGGTGGGAAATTATCGATAAGTGAGCGAGAAGGAATCGATAACAGGGTATACCAAGGCTGCACCAAGGCTGCAGAAGCGTAGATTGTCTTCCATCGATGTTTGAATCAACGAGGGAACGTTCTAGATTACACTGTCCCTGGTATAATGGAACTTTCAACGACATGCGCATTCGACGACGCCGAGTGACGCACAGTGGTTTTAAAATCGTAAAATCACGAATAAAATTTATAGCATTACTATTCAATCCTTATGAGTGGACTGCGAATGTTTGCATAATTTATGCATCGTATTATTGGATATCGTTATTATAATACTCTATGCTTCTTCGTTTCTTATACTTTATGGATATAAATGCTTTTTATATTACACAGAATAATCAATTGAGCCAATACACCGAATCGGGCATATAGGTCGCTGAAAGTGTCGTCGCCAAGCGCTATTGCAACGCGCGATAAAGTTGTTCTTTTCATCAAGTTTGTTCTTTTCATAAACGAAGAAAATAAAAAAGCGTGGGTATTATGAAACGAAGGAACTGCCACTGCTCGCTTTTATCCAGCATGTTTTATCCGTGAATCTACTTTTTTGTCTCCTTTTTTAAGCAAAGGTCTATAACGATCTGCGTCAAGTTACAATGTACTAGAATCTTTTATGTTTAAGAAAGACGAACGGTATCTCGTTTTTTTGTTTGTAGAATGGACACAGAGAAGATGGAACTTTTTCTTTATTTTTTTACACGATCGAATCTGTAAGAAGAGCAAGAGGTCGTCTATAGGATGGATACTTAGCACGTAATATTTTCATAGAAATAATTACCATTACCGTAACGCTACTGATGTCTCGTTTCCTGTCGGTGGTAATCCTCAAAAGATCTTGCTCTCTCTCTTTAATTTTGCTGAAAACCAATTATCAGGGGGATCATTAAAGTAATCACAGACTTCAGCCTTCCACTTAACGGTACTTCCTTTCATTTCTTCACTCATTGACTGACTGTTAACTGACAAAAAGTCTCGATGCCTCTGCCTTTTCCGTTCCTCCCTATATGGATCTCACAAACAACACGAATAAAATTAATGACGTTGAATTTATAAACTCAATTTTCTCCGAAATAAAGCTTCGAATGTACTCTATTTATAGTTCTTGATTTCCTTTTTATTTTGTGGCATAGAATCATCCTGACTTTTATTGTGTCATGAATTTACCACCACAATGTATAAATTCAAGATTTTAAGGTATACCAAAGAATACTTTGCTCGTATATACGTGTGACTGTGTGTTTACACGGAACACAGGTCCCTCGTTCGATTTCCTCGATCACGTTCCTGCATTAATGCACGTAAGAGACCGATCCTCTTTGTAGTTGTTCGCGCAAAGAGAATATCCCGAAGGTTCGAGTAGTCTGCACGGATTTCTGTGATTCGGATTGTACGGGACGGAAGGAAAAAGACGAAATCGCCGTACGTGTTGTCCCAGAATAGCTGGGGGCGCGATTTGTGCAATATCACCGATCGTCTCTCAATATTCTTTCTTTCTCAACTTTTCTCTCAATGGCATGTAACAGAGGACCAGGGGCAGGGGAATAAAATTCTCCGGAGATGGATGCATAGAATCGACATATCGTGTCGCGAGATCCCTATTTTTCCCTAGTTTACGCCAAGAAAGTACTGTGCATCGCAAGAAATTTCGTCTTTTCTTACTGATGAAAGTTTCAGATGAGAAACATCCTGTTCTTTGTTTGATTCTTTCTAATATACAATAACGCGAAACTAGGTTTATAAAAGTATTATGGAGCCTGCGTATTCATAAAAGTTTGTTACGGTAGTGTCCAAATAATTTTTCGTGGATATTTTAGTCTTTTTTCGTGGAGTGAATAGTATTGTTCTTATTTACCTTTAAATATTTCTTACATATTCCTATTTAACGTGGAGAACAGTGTCAAGGGAAGTTTAAATTTTCAAACATTTTCGTATCTTTTGGATGATTTATCTCGTACGATAGAACAGAATAGAATAGAATAATCGAGGCGCAGTCAAAGTGCAAGTGAACTCACGACGCGTAACAATATTTTTCATACGAAACAACGTGTATAACTCAATCAAGTCGAGTACATCTGCTTTCTGTTTTCTCTAATAAGATAGCGCATTAAGAGCGGCATGACAAATTGAAGATTGCACATGGACGTCCGACAGATTTCCTCTACAAAGGTGAAAAAAATACTAGTCGAGATTGCTGAATTACTTTATCTTCTGTAATTACCGATGAAAAATGTTCAGCATAGTCTTTAGACTGAGGTAGAACTGTGCAAAAGTGTGTTCAACAAGTTATCGCAACACATAACGAAAGTCATCAATTCTTCCGATACGATATCATCATACGTAATCTTACGCCACATATACCAACCCAAGACATACCTAATAGTTTCTCTTCTCTTATTCCTGTAATGCTGACATCATTCACTGCGCGTTATCATCGCGAATAAACGATTTATCCTGCTTACTTGATTGTATCCTATCATTCCTTAATCATCAAGTATCGAGTTGACTGATATTGAACCGCATTGAATCACCAGAAAATTATTCGATCGCGTAATCATTTCAAAGTAACATTTACCTAATAAAGTAACGTATTATTTAAACATTTATTTCTCAAATATTTTCTTTACATAATTCTACTGAAGAATAAATGAGAATATGCGTTGTTTGTATAATAACATTCAAATATATTTGAGAAATAAACATTTAAATAATACATTATTTCATTTAGCTAAATGTTATTTTGAAATGATTATGCATTAAGTTTATTTGAACGAGCAAATGATCTCCCTACAAATTATCTCATTAGTTAAAAATGAAATGAAATTATTTCGTTGTTTACGTATGAAATTAAGTAATCTTTATTTGGCTTATATTTTGTAGTGGGATAAATCTTTATGAAAATAATATTTCAAACAGTTTCTGATTTCATTAAATCAATATCATTAATTGCATCAGAAATACGAATTTTCTCATTACATCTCAGAGATACATGTTCAAATACATATTATTGAAAGACAATTGAAATTAAAATAATTTCGAGAGCAAATCTCACGATTATTCGAGATTGTCTATTATTACTATAAATTGTTCACCTAATTCATTCTAAATCTTTTCAATAAATTTTAATTCATCATTTTCTTCTCACAGATACTTTTTTACAAAATCCTGTTGTATTTTCTTAAGATAAATGGCCATTAATCATCTACAACGATTATCACATTTTATACGATATTATAGCGTATCCAGATATTTACGAACGAGGGTGTGCTTCCTTTCGCTCCTTTTCATCCATGACATACGTAGAGGAACGAAGGCAAGATAGTCTCAGTTAGTTTCAGCAACTATTTCCTTTCCCGCCGCGTCCTAGGAATATTTAGTCGAGCGCGAAATAACAGGTTGCACAGCGAAAAACATCGGCGCAGATTGTTCGCCGGGCCTTATAATTATAAATTACTCGTAATACAGGGGCAATTTGTAGCTCTCCTCGTCCACGGTTCGCCTCGCAATTATTCGGTGGATGCGTCTAGAAAATGATTCACGGCGCGATCAGAAATGAGGGATAAAAGAGTGCGGTGTTCTGTGTATGCTGCATCCAGAAATTATTCCATGGATATCTGTTCGGAGTTCGCTGCGGTCGTTCTCTCGAATTGCTCGTTGTAATTGGAAAATTCGTTAGCTTGAGGCCGTATTCTTCTTCGTAGCGTGCATTTATCAGGTCAGCTCATAAATAACGTTGTTTCTTGCGTTACGGTAAAATGAAGACGGATATCTTGTTTATGCGGCGTGCATATAAAATGCTTTTCGATGCATCTTGGAAGGCTACGATCTGTTTCGAGTGGATGCTGCTTGGGAAAAAAAGAATTGCAGAAATGAGACCGTTGTGAATAGGATTCGAGGATTAATACGGTGTGTTAGGTGATGAACAACGTGCTTCAGATTTTCCTGAGGCAGACAGGACTGCGAGGGTTGCAACATTGGTCGATACTATCATTATGATTGTTAATTGGTGTAACTTTGAGATACATATACCTCCGTTTAGAAATAATAGAACACTCGTTAAAATAAATCTTTGAGAGAAAGAAAGAAATCATTTGAGATTTATTAAACTCCTTAGGATTAGTATTTCAATTGAAATCGTGGGGTAGATAAAGCTTATATATGTACAATAAATATATATGATCAATTATGTTATAAATAACAGAAACAAGTTGGTTTCCTTCAAACACTGATGAATCTGTACACTCACGTAACATCAGTAGATTGTCTACTGTATCTATTATCCTTTGATTTTATACATTCCTTGACTGATTGCGAGAGTCACGTTTAACTTTTAGCAGACTGCCCTGAATTTACTATATAATTCACTTAAAATTTTCTCAATGAAATTTAAATTAAAGCATCGTGGACGTAAATCGTAATTCTTAATTGATCATTTTCCCACAACAGTTGCAAATAACTTTTACAAATTTCTGTTGCGTATTCGGAATCGTTATTTTGCCTAAATACGTGCTTCTACCCGAATAATCGCCTTTGTAATAAATTGAGTCAATTATTACGTTTTATATGGGACCAACACTTATGGACGATGTATATCTATAATAACGTGTTCGAATGTATTATATTTATTATTATACATTAATATATATAATATAATATTACATATAAATATGTGGTCATATATTTGGCAAGAAA